GGGGCCCTCCCAGTCCCTCCCAGTGCCCTTTCAGTCCCTCCCAGTGCTCACCAGAGCCATCCCAGTCCCTCCCAGTCCCATTCAGTCTCTCCCAGTGCTCCCCAGAGCCATCCCAGTGCTCTCTGGAGCCCTCCCAGTCGCTCCCAGTCCCTCCCAGTGCTCATTGGAGCCATCCCAGTCCCTCCCAGTGCTCTCTGCAGCCATCCCAGTCGCTCCCAGTCCCATTCAGTCCCTCCCAGTGCTCAGTGGGGCCCTCCCAGTGCCTCCCAGTGCTCACCAGAGCCCTCCCAGTCCCTCCCAATGCTCACCGGGCCCCTCCCAGTACTCACCAGAGCCCTCCCAATGCCTCCCAGTGCTCACTGGTTCCCTCCCAGTCCCTCCCAGTCCCTCCCAGTGCTCACCAGAGCCATCCCAGTGCTCACTGGTGCTATCCCAGTCCCTCCCAGTGCTTAGTGGGTCCCTCCCAGTTCCCTCCCAGTTCCCTCCCAGTTCCCTCCCAGTCCCTTTCAGTGCTCACCAGTGCCCTCCCAGTGCCCTCCCAGTCCCTCCCAGTGCCTCCCAGTGCTCTCTGGAGCCCTCCCAGTCCCTCCCAGCCCCCCCCAGTGCCTCCCAGTCCCTCCCAGTGCCCACCAGTCCCTGTCCCCGCAGCGGCAGGTGGCTGCCCGCCGGGAGTGCATCTCCGGGGAGTTCGAGGAGCTGCAGGTCCTGGGGACACGGGGCATCCCAGTCCCTCCCAGTGCCTCCCAGTGCTCACCAGTCCCTCCCAGTGCTCACCCGGGCCATCCCAGTCCCTCCCAGTGCTCACTGATGCCCTCTCAGTCCCTCTCAGTCTCTCCCAGTCCCTCCCAGTGCTCTCTGGAGCCATCCCACTCCCTCCCACTCCCTCCCAGTCCCTCCCAGTCGCTCCCAGTGCCCACCAGTGCCTGTCCCCGCAGCGGCAGGTGGCTGCCCGCCGGGAGTGCATCTCCGAGGAGTTTGAGGAGCTGCGGGCGCTGCTGGCGGAGGAGGAGCGGGAGCTGCTGGGGCGCCTGGCGGAGGAGGAGCGGGAGATCCTGCAGCGGGTCCAGGCCAACCTGGGGCGCCTCGGGGAGCGGCGCCGGGCACTGGCCGCGCTGGTGGCCGAGCTGGAGGAGAAGTGTCTGCAGCCGGGGGCTCGCATGCTCCAGGTGGGGGTGGGGAGGGGTTGGGGGGGACGGGAGGGGACAGTCCTTCCTTCCCCCCATCCCCAAATTCTCCCTCCGTCCCCAAATCCCTTCCCTCCATCCCCAACTCCTTCCCCCCAACTCCTTCCCTCTGTCCCCAAATTCTACCTCCGTCCCCAAATCCCTTCCCTCCGTCCCTGAATCCCTTTCCCCTGTCCTTGAATCCTTCTCCCATCCCCAAATTCTTCCTCTAGTCCCCAAATTCCTTCCCCCCATCCCCAAATTCCTTTCTCCCACCCCCAAATTCTCCCTCCATCCCCAACTCCTTCCCCCCGACTCCTTCACTCTGTCCCCAAATCCCTTTCTCCTGTCCCCGAATTCTCCCCCCGTCCCCAAATCCCTTCCCCCCGTCCCCAAATCCCTTTCTCCCGTCCCCAAATTCTCCCTCCATCCCCAAATCCCTTCCCTCCATCCCCAATCCTCTCCCTCTGTCCCCAAATCCCTTCCCTCCGTCCCCAAATCCTTCCCCTGTCTCTGAATCCCTTTCACCTGTCCCCAAATTCTGCCTCTGTCCCCAAATCCCTTTCTCCTGTCCCCAAATCCTTCCCTCCGTCCCCATATTCTCCCTCTGGCCCTGAATCCCTTCCCCCCGTCCCCAAATCCTTGAATCCATCCCCCCGTCCCCAAATCCCTTCTCTCCATCCCCGAATCCCTTTCTCCTGTCCCCGAATCCCTTCCCTCCGTCCCCAAATTCTCCCTCCGTCCCCAAATCCCTTCCCCCCCTCCCCAAATTCTCCCTCTGTCCCCAAATCCCTTCCATCTGTCCCCAAATCCCTTCCCTCCGTCCCCAAATCCTTCCCCTGTCTCTGAATCCCTTTCACCTGTCCCCAAATTCTGCCTCTGTCCCCAAATCCCTTTCTCCTGTCCCCAAATCCTTCCCCCCCGTCCCTGAATCCATCCCCCCGTCCCCAAATCCCTTCTCTCCATCCCCGAATCCCTTTCTCCTGTCCCCGAATCCCTTCCCTCCGTCCCCAAATTCTCCCTCCGTCCCCAAATCCCTTCCCCCCCTCCCCAAATTCTCCCTCTGTCCCCAAATCCCTTCCATCTGTCCCCAAATCCCTTCCCTCCGTCCCCAAATCCGTCCCCTGTCTCTGAATCCCTTTCACCTGTCCCCAAATTCTGCCTCTGTCCCCAAATCCCTTTCTCCTGTCCCCAAATCCTTCCCTCCATCCCCATATTCTCCCTCTGTCCCCAAATCCCTTCCCCCGTCCTTGAATCCTTCACCTGTCCCCAAATCCCTTCCCTCCGTCCCCAAATCCCTTCCCTCCGTCCCCCAATTCTCCCTCTGTCCCCAAATCCTTCCCTCTGTCCCCAAATCCCTTTCCCCCCTCCCCAAATTCTTTTCTCCCATCGCCGAATCCCTTCCCTCCATCCCCAAATCCCTTCCCTCCGTCCCCAAATCCTTCCCCTGTCTCTGAATCCCTTTCACCTGTCCCCAAATTCTGCCTCTGTCCCCAAATCCCTTTCTCCTGTCCCCAAATCCTTCCCCCCCGTCCCTGAATCCATCCCCCCGTCCCCAAATCCCTTCTCTCCATCCCCGAATCCCTTTCTCCTGTCCCCGAATCCCTTCCCTCCGTCCCCAAATTCTCCCTCCGTCCCCAAATCCCTTCCCCCCCTCCCCAAATTCTCCCTCTGTCCCCAAATCCCTTCCATCTGTCCCCAAATCCCTTCCCTCCGTCCCCAAATCCGTCCCCTGTCTCTGAATCCCTTTCACCTGTCCCCAAATTCTGCCTCTGTCCCCAAATCCCTTTCTCCTGTCCCCAAATCCTTCCCTCCATCCCCATATTCTCCCTCTGTCCCCAAATCCCTTCCCCCGTCCTTGAATCCTTCACCTGTCCCCAAATCCCTTCCCTCCATCCCCAAATCCCTTCCCTCCGTCCCCCAATTCTCCCTCTGTCCCCAAATCCTTCCCTCTGTCCCCAAATCCCTTTCCCCCCTCCCCAAATTCTTTTCTCCCATCCCCGAATCCCTTCCCTCCATCCCCGAATCCCTTCCCTCCGTCCCCAAATCCTTCCCCTGTCTCTGAATCCCTTTCACCTGTCCCCAAATTCTGCCTCTGTCCCCAAATCCCTTTCTCCTGTCCCCAAATCCTTCCCTCCGTCCCCATATTCTCCCTCTGGCCCTGAATCCCTTCCCCCCGTCCCCAAATCCTTCCCCCATCCCTGAATCCTTCCCCTGTCCCCAAATTCTCCCTCTGTCCCCAAATCCCTTTCTCCTGTCCCCAAATTCTCCCTCTGTCCCCAAATCCCTTTCCCCTGTCCCCAAATCCTTCTCTTCGTCCCCGAATCCCTTCCCTCCATCCCCAAATCTCTTCCCTCTGTCCCTGAATCCCTTCCCTCCATCCCCAAATCCTTCCCCCGTCCCCAAATCCCTTTCTCCCATCCCCGAATCCCTTTCTCCTGTCCCCACGTCCTCCCTCCGTCCCCAAATCCCTTCCCTCCATCCCCAAATCCTTCCCTCCATCCCCAAATTCCTCCCTCTGTCCCCAAATCTTTCCCCTGGCCCCGACTCCCTCTCCTTGTCCCCAATTCCCTCCCTCCATCCCTGGATCCCAACCCCTGTCCCCAAATCCTTCCCTCCGTCCCCAAATTCCGCCCCCCCCTCCCCCACTCCTTCCCCCCCCTCCCCCAATCCCTCCCTTTTTCCCCAAATTCTTCCCC